GGGCGGGGGTACCCTTGGAGTTATGGAGGGGCGCGGGGGTACCCTTGGAGTTATGGAGGGGCGCGGGAGGTACACTTGGAGGCACATAGAGCCACACTAGGGGCACAGGGGGTACCCTTGCAGTTATGGAGGGGCACAGGGGGTACACTAGGGGCACAGGGGGGTCCCCCTTGGAGCATTCGTAATCTCAAAGCTTTAAATCTAGTGTATTGTCATTTTTGAGGGAGGCCGGGAACCAACTCCCTCACTTCCCATTGACTTGCATTATATTCGGGGGTTTCAATGTACATCGGTTTCTATTTGCAGCCATTCTTTCAGGAACCTGACCCTGGTGTAAACAGAGGGCTTCCTGTATCTGGAGAGCGGTGATGTCACTCCTGTGTTATGTATCTTGTATCTGGGCGGGGAGCGATGCATTGTCATTGATGATTGATTATTTTTCACACTTTAGAATGCTTTATTTTTTTATTCCCTGTCACATGACCAGATTTGGTTATTTATCATGTTTTAGGTTCTGGAATTTTCCGGTTCCTTTCCTAGTATTAGAATTCATATTTCGTACTCGGAAGGAGCTGCTTTTGTTAATTTGGGGGAAGATTTGAGCGCGGCATGCGGGCGAAGCCAAATCTCGTCTTGTTAATTGCTCGCTGACTGCCGTCGCGGTTTACGGGAACGCTGATCCTGAATGAGAAGGAAACATCTGTCACAATGAATAGCTCACCTTTGGTAGCACAATGGAACGCTCCGCCTGATGGGATAATCCCGATATATTAATTAACGTTCCCAAGTTCCGGCCAATTGTCAGCGCCGCTCATGTGGAAATGGGAACTAATCAGATCTGCCGCGCGCAGGAAATTCCGTTCCAGATACTTTGTATTTCTTTTTAAAGGGACATCGCTCTTCATTTTCTTTATCGGTAGTGAAGTGAAGAGTTTGTATTGATGAGTTACAGCTGACGGTGAGTGTTCACATTCTGGAGGCAGCCATGACTCCGCCCCTTCTGTCCTCCACGCAGCCTAGTGATTGGTTAATAAGTGGGAGGGGTGGGGCTTAGCACATGTGTGTAAGATAACGAAGGCGGATGTTCTTCATAGGGGGTCCCTGACAGCGTAGCTGGCTCATTGACTTGTAATTGGTGTTCCTTGGCATGTTAACCCCTTACTGACCATAATCGCAAGGTGTATGGAAGGCGTGCGACCTCTGCTACTGTAAGGTCGCACGACTTTTGTCTTACGAGCATATTTGAAAACCCGCCGAGAATCGTACGATTGTCTGCGGGTTTGTGGCATGCTCGTAAGACAAATGCCGAACGGGCCGGGGTGCACAAGCGCACACTGCCCGTTCAGCATTGCAGTCATCGGAAGCACGCCCCTCAAGATGGGCAGATCGTACGTTTAAAAAAAAAAAAATTACCTTACAACCATCGCAAGACAAAGTTGTAAGGTCTATGGCCACCTTTTAAATTGGGCCTTCATTAGTGGTAAATGGTAATTCATATCTCCTGATGAGAGATGGATGGACACACACATACACTATATTGTCAAGTATATAATATAGTCATAAGTATTGGGCCCCTCCCCCTCCAAATCATGTGATTCCGGTGTTCCAATCCCCTCCATGGCCCCCGGTGTATAGGATGAGGCACCTCGGCATGCAGACACTTCTACAGACATTGGTGAGAGAACGGGTCGCTCTCAGGAGCTCAGTGACTACAAGCGCGGTGCCGTGATAGGTTGTCACCTGTGCAATAAGTCCGTCCGTGACATTTCCTGGCTACTAAATATTCCGCCGCGGTCACCTGTTACTGGGATTAGAACAAAGTGGAAGCAACTGGGAACAACAGCAACTCAGCCAGGAAGTGGTCGGCCACGTCACATGACAGAGCGGGGTCAGCGCATGCTGAAGCGCACAGTGCGCAGAAGTCGCCAACTGTCTGCAGAGTCAATAGCTACAGACCTCCAAACTCCATGCGGCCTTCAGCTTGGCGCAACAACAGTGCGTAGAGAGCTTCATGGAACGGGTTTCCATGGCCGAGCAGCTGCATCCAAGCCTTACATCACCAAGTGCAATGCAAAGCGTGGGATGCCGTGGTGTAAAGCACGCCGCCACTGGACTCTAGAGAAGGGGAGACGTGTTCTCTGGAGTGACCAATCACGCTTCTCTGTCTGGCAATCCGATGGGCGTGTCTGGGTTTGGCGGTTGCCAGGAGAACGGTACTTGCCTGACTGCATTGTGCCAAGTGTAAAGTTTGGGAGGGGATGTTTTTTCGGGGGTTGGGCTCGGCCCCTTAGCTCCAGTGAAGGGAACTCTTAAGGCATCAGCACACCAAGATATTTTGGACAATTTCATGCTCCCAACTTTATGGGGACAGTGTGGGGACGCCCCTTCCTGTTCCTACGCACGGGTCCTGACCTCAACCCCATAGAACACCTTTGCGATGAATTAGAGCGGAGACTGCAAGCCCCTCCCCCAACATCAGCACCTGACCTCCCAAATGGTCCAACATTCCCATAGACACACTCCTAAACCTTGTGGACGCCTTCCCAGAAGAGGCGGAGCTGTTATAGCGGCAAAGGGCTGAGCCAACCCAATACTGAACCCTACGGACTAAGACTGGGATGCCATTAAAGCTCATGTGCGTGCAAAGGCGCCCCGATACAAAAAAACAAGATCTAATTCTGGATAACCGGAGTTTGTGTTTTAGTTTTGCAGTTTCACTGAAACCTCCACAAAGGGAGAAGAATAAACTGACATTTCAGTGAAAAGTTAAATATTCACCAACTGCAGCAAACTTCAGTGTTTACCTAACTCCTTTCTGCACGTTGGATCACGACAACCACGTCATAGCTAAAATATAATCCCGGGTCTGTACCCCCGCTGTGCCCATTATGAGGGGCTCCCACCATCCCTGTGCTGAGTTCCCGGGTCTGTACCCCCGCTGTGCCCATTATGAGGGGCGCCCACCATCCCTGTGCTGAGTTCCCGGGTCTGTACCCCCGCTGTGCCCATTATGAGGGGCGCCCACCATCCCTGTGCTGAGTTCCCGGGTCTGTACCCCCGCTGTGCCCATTATGAGGGGCGCCCACCATCCCTGTGCTGAGTTCCCGGGTCTGTACCCCCGCTGTGCCCATTATGAGGGGCGCCCACCATCCCTGTGCTGAGTTCCCGGGTCTGTACCCCCGCTGTGCCCATTATGAGGGGCGCCCACCATCCCTGTGCTGAGTTCCCGGGTCTGTACCCCCGCTGTGCCCATTATGAGGGGCGCCCACCATCCCTGTGCTGAGTTCCCGGGTCTGTACCCCCGCTGTGCCCATTATGAGGGGCGCCCACCATCCCTGTGCTGAGTTCCCGGGTCTGTACCCCCGCTGTGCCCATTATGAGGGGCGCCCACCATCCCTGTGCTGAGTTCCCGGGTCTGTACCCCCGCTGTGCCCATTATGAGGGGCGCCCACCATCCCTGTGCTGAGTTCCCGGGTCTGTACCCCCGCTGTGCCCATTATGAGGGGCGCCCACCATCCCTGTGCTGAGTTCCCGGGTCTGTACCCCCGCTGTGCCCATTATGAGGGGCGCCCACCATCCCTGTGCTGAGTTCCCGGGTCTGTACCCCCGCTGTGCCCATTATGAGGGGCGCCCACCATCCCTGTGCTGAGTTCCCGGGTCTGTACCCCCGCTGTGCCCATTATGAGGGGCGCCCACCATCCCTGTGCTGAGTTCCCGGGTCTGTACCCCCGCTGTGCCCATTATGAGGGGCGCCCACCATCCCTGTGCTGAGTTCCCGGGTCTGTACCCCCGCTGTGCCCATTATGAGGGGCGCCCACCATCCCTGTGCTGAGTTCCCGGGTCTGTACCCCCGCTGTGCCCATTATGAGGGGCGCCCACCATCCCTGTGCTGAGTTCCCGGGTCTGTACCCCCGCTGTGCCCATTATGAGGGGCGCCCACCATCCCTGTGCTGAGTTCCCGGGTCTGTACCCCCGCTGTGCCCATTATGAGGGGCGCCCACCATCCCTGTGCTGAGTTCCCGGGTCTGTACACCCTCTGTACCCATTATGAGGGGCTCCCCCCATCCTGTGCTGCTGTGCAGGTGCTGGGTACACAAAGTAGAAAGCGGAACTCCAGCCAAACGTAACGGGATAAAAATAAATATTACAGATAAAATAATAAAACGAGCTTCTGCTGCAATATTCCCCTTCAATCCAGAGATTTGCCCCGCAGTCCTCCTTTTCTGCCACTAGGTGTCCTCAGTCTGATGTCCAGCATCATTCAACCCACTTCCTCTGAGCTCAGCTCCCCCTGGACTGCAAAGTGAAAATAGGAGCACAGCGATGAGCTCATCTCTCTAGCCCTCTGCCTTCTCTTCCTATAAGCATGATTCTTGTCATTATATAATGATAATAATTATTGGTTCCTTATGCTGCTTCTTCCTCCAGTCCTGCTGTACAGGGGCTGATACCAGGTTACTGATTGACCCCCTGGGCCCCCCCCCCCCCTCTGATTGGGCAATAACTCCTCGCTCCCTCTCCTATCGGCATGCTTTTTCTCATCACATGATCTGATTGGCTCCTTTTGCTGCTCCTTCCTCTTCCACTGGAGCCCTGCTCTACAGGTACTGATGGAGGCTGCTACCCGGTCACATTTTATTTACAGTTTCGTTGCCGGGAGGTCCGAATGGATGTTGTGTACGAGGATCTGATTACATTGTATCTGGTGAGTGATGAGTCCTCCTTCCTGTGGGATGACCTGTGACTCCTCATTGTCCTTCCCGGCTTATCTCCCGAGCTGGAAAATGGCCCACAGGAGAGGGGAGGGGACCCGGCGGCATACCTCATCCCACCGGGTGAACGTCCCCTCCTCTCTCTGCCGGCGTCCATCACCAAGATGGCAGGCGTCAATCAGATGGCCGCGCTTGCGCAATGATGTCACCCCTGACCCAAATCCAATAATGGAATATATTGCAGCTCAGCACTCATTGGATGTCTCTGCTGCATTCACTTTCTGGATAAGAACAATTTTTTTCTGCATGCACAGGAGAAGGGGGCGGGGGGGCTGTTCTGTAGGGCGACAACGCTGCACCTATATAGATACAATACGATGAGTGTTGTCACCCTATGAATTATTGAAGAATATTTCTCAAGGTGGCCAGGTACCCGCATCCGAAGTTCACGATGAGCGTTGTCACCCCATGACAGGAAGCGGCAGGGTCACCAGGGATGATTTTCATGGAAGCTGTGATTGGGTGTTCCTTCTACATCAATAGTGTGTTAATCCTCCCAACAGCCAATCGGAATTCATCTTTCATTGTCCATCAATGCCATGCGCAATGCTGAGATCGGCGTGCGGTCAGGTTTGTACAGGGCGCGTGGACGAGTTTGCAGACATTGGCGCAGGAGATCGGCGCGCGTCCACCATGATCAGTAATTTGCTGGTCGGTCGGTTTGCTGGAACATTTTCTACGCTCATTTTGTTGGATTTTGCTGACCTGGAATTAACCAGCCCGGGGGGGGGACCCTTTCCACCTGTAGCTGGGGGTGTAATGGCCGTTCATTTTCCGGGGGCCCTTAATGCACCTCCCAGGGCCAGTTAAAGGCTCATGTTTCCACTGCAGCACATATATATTCCTATTACACGGGTTGCAGCGTGCTGATTGGCTGCTTTGTATGCTTACTCCATGTATGCATGAGGGCTTGTTCACGCCTAATACGGTGCGTTCCAGTACGGTTATCACATAATGAAATCCTCCGTGCGTTGTGGGGCAGGAGGGGGCGTGAAGGTGCATTCAAGTCTATGGCACCGCAGCCGCGCCTCTCACCCTGTAGTGCGGTCACATAGAATGGTGCGGCACCGGACCGTTGTGGAACGCACTGCATTAGGTGTGAACAAGCCCTGAAAGTCGAAGTCCAGATACAAAATGTATATTCCTCAATAGCCACAAAGGATATAAACCCGTATTTTGTGTACCCGGACCTCATCAATGGGCTGTACATTGTACAGAGAGCAGAGCTGTGGGAGGGACCCAGCAGACCCCACCCACTACAGGAGGGGGCGGAGACTAGACCAGTCACCCTTTACCAGGAGAGAGAGCAGCAGTGACCGGTCTTTATTACAGGAGGGGGCGGAGACGAGACCAGTCACCCCCCACAAGGAGAGAGCAGCAGTGACCGGTCTTTATTACAGGAGGGGGCAGATTTTCGGTATTTCGTGCTCCTCTCCGATCACTGTTCTGGACTTGGACAATACAAAGCCGATTCTACAATTGGGGGATGTGATGGGGAAGGTGGAACAATTTGTATGGAGCGGATCAGATGTTGGGGATACAATTGTATCTCATGTTCCTGGTGGTTTGGTGTCTGGGCATTGTGTGGGAAGCACCGCCTGGATCAGACGCAGCCCTTTCCCCGCACTCCTCCGTCTCGGGTCAGCTCATTATTAGCGGAGACACAATGAGGCTTTTGAGCCGATGCCCAGAGTGTCCCGGCCATGATCATCTCCATGCTCGGTGCCCCTCCCCCGCCCTCCCCTGTCCCCGGCACATTCCTGGCTTTTCCTCCCTGTGACCAGCCGAATATACTGTTTGCGTTGAGCAACACTCCGGCTTTTGTCGACACCATTGAGCCGGATCTTCAGCTCCTTATCAGCCCCACGATGACTTCTGAAGTGTTATTATGGAATGTGAGAAGAACCGCCATTGTGTGCGGAGGAAATCTACAAAACGTACACAGAACGTTTCATCTGCTTGTAGTTTGCTTTCCCGGGTTCCTCCCTCTTGCACCCCACATGCCCCCCCCCCACCGCCATCATCATCATCATCATCATCATTACATTCTAAAAATCTTTCAGTTTTCATTATTTTGAGTCCCAGTGATGCCATCACTGGGTCTCTGTGCAATGCCGGCAGATCATGGCTGGTGGGAGGAGCCAGCAGGGTGCTGTACATAGCTTCCTGAAAACATCACAGCCCGCTGCCTCGGTACTCCTCTCAAGAGCCCGGATCGAAGCAGTGGGCCGCCTCTTGGGGAGGAGTTATGCAAATTTGTTAATGCGTGGGTGTCAGTCTGGAGGAGTGGGCGTTCCCAGGCAGGCTGTATTTGCATGCAGACCACCCACATGTGATGCGGATCCTCCCATGATTGAAAGAACTGAAATCCAATGAATGAAAGGGGCGGGGCCAGAAATAGTCAGGCTGGGGAGGAAGTGCAAGATGATGCGGGATGTCCTCCAGCCAGGCAATGAGGCGGAGCTCTATCTGACTTTGCTGCAGCTTCTAATGCACATTGTGAGAAGAAGTGTGCAGAGACATCAGAGGAAGAGGGGAGGAGCCGCTACAACTGTACAAGACTGAAGGGAAGGCCGGAGGTCAGATAGAAGACTGAAGGGGAGGACGGAGGTCAGATAGAAGACTGAAGGGGAGGACGGAGGTCAGATAGAAGACTGAAGGGGAGGACGGAGGTCAGATAGAAGACTGAAGGGGAGGACGGAGGTCAGATAGAAGACTGAAGGGGAGGACGGAGGTCAGATAGAAGACTGAAGGGGAGGACGGAGGTCAGATAGAAGACTGAAGGGGAGGACGGAGGTCAGATAGAAGACTGAAGGGGAGGACGGAGGTCAGATAGAAGACTGAAGGGGAGGACGGAGGTCAGATAGAAGACTGAAGGGGAGGACGGAGGTCAGATAGAAGACTGAAGGGGAGGACGGAGGTCAGATAGAAGACTGAAGGGGAGGACGGAGGTCAGATAGAAGACTGAAGGGGAGATTTCAATTTTAGTTTTGGGTAGAATAGTGGACACATCCTTTATTTTGCGGCTTGGGGGGAGAGGCTATCTTTCCATAGTAGAGACCGCCATGTGACGGTGGTGGTTGGACGTGGTGTGTCGGCCTCCTGTAGCTCGGTCGGATGTTCGGGATCTTCAGCCTCCGTTAACGCTGCGTTCTTCTCTTGCAGAAAAAAGCGAAGGGTCAGGAGCTCTTCGACCAGATCATGTACCACCTGGACCTCATCGAGAAGGACTACTTTGGTTTACAGTTCATGGATTCCGCCCAAGTGCCTGTAAGTTCAGTTCCTCCTCCAGTGAAGGGGGATTCGGGTTATCAGAGAGAGATGGGGGGGCGGGTTTGGGTCCAGAACGGTGAAGAAGGGCAGGCTATGGGGTCCGGCGGAGGGGAGAAGGATTTTCGGTGACCTGGAGTAAGAAAAGGACATATGGGTTATGTGCAGGATCGAATAACGGGGTCCAGTAGAGGAATGAAGGGCAGGGATTTGGGGTTTAATATAGTGATACAAGGGCAGGGCATTGGGGTGTCATAGGGCAATAGAAGGGCAGGGCATTGGGGTGTCATAGGGCAATAGAAGGGTAGGGCATTGGGGTGTCATAGGGCAATAGAAGGGCAGGGCATTGGGGTGTCATAGGGCATTGGGGTGTAATGGGGCAAATGAAGGGCAGGGAATTGGGGTGTAATAGGAGCACATGGTTTTGGGGTTCCGTCCAGTAAAAATCAAGCAGGGCATTTGGGTGTAACAGAATTGGAAGAGGTTATAGTGAATAAGCCCTCGTTCGCACCTGAACGTTTTGTAGCGCGTTCTACGCTCGACGAACGCTCTACAAGACGCTCAAACATCTAAATCCCATTGTATTCTATGGGTCTGGTTCCCACCTTGGCGTATTTCCGCCCGTCCCTAACGCGATACAAAACGGCCCACGCCTGGAAAGGTACAGGTACTACATTGGGCCGTTTTTTGTTGCGCGTTTCACTATAACAGAGTTCTGAATGGATTTGGGTGATTCCAGAAATCGGGTCCAGCACAGGAGAAGGATAGACGCTGCACCCTTCCTGTGGCCCCCCAGAGTCCCTCTCTACAGGGAGATGTCAGTGTGGGGGAGGGCCAGGCTGAGAATGAGAAGGTCTGGCCATGTTTTTCTTCATCTGCCAGTCTGTTTTCTTTCTTAAACTACCTGCCACCCCGAGGGGAACATTTTATAAAATGATGACGGAGATATTCTGCAGGAGGAGGCGCCTCCTACCTCATGCCACAAAGATGGGAAAATCTCTCCTCGCAGCACCTCACATGACCCGGAGGAGAGGCTGATGATTTCACATGTCTGACATGAAATGATTGGTTACTGAGAGGAGTCTCTGTACAGAGGAGCTTACACTCTAATGTCCCCTCCCCCCACAGTCACATCAGTCTCTGTACAGAGGAGCTTACACTCTAATGTCCCCTCCCCCCACAGTCACATCAGTCTCTGTACAGAGGAGCTTACACTCTAATGTCAAAAAGCTGGATCTTTTGTATATTTTTGGGATGAATTGATCACATTTGAACCTTTTTTCTTATTTTTGCAGCATTGGTTGGATACGACGAAGAGCATCAAGAAACAAGTGGCCAGTAAGTACTGCTCTCCGATTGGTCCTCTGGTTAATGGCGGCGTATCTGATTGACGTGTCATGTTTGTCTGCCGCTACACATTGAACTTGACATAATCCGGCCGCTCCATATGTCTCTATGAAGGGGGGGGGGGGGGGGGGGGGGCGCGCCAGTCTAAGAGGGGGTGGCGAGCACGCCGCGGTCATCTCCGCAGGACGTCGCCGGCTGCGAGCGACATTGACGACTCCGTTCGCTGAGTGGTCAGTCTTCCGGCGTTCGCCGCAACGGTCGTTTATTTTCCGCCAGCTGAAAATAACATTTCACTGGCTTTGTAGAGGGCTATGGGTGTTTGATGGGCAGCTTTCACTGCTGGGTTGCTGTGGAGGGCGTTTAGGGCTCATTCACACAATGTGCGCCGACTCAATGCGAGGACGCAGAGAAGACGATTGTTCGCATTTGTACTCTGTGCAGAAAATTGTTACAATGTTAAAAACAAAAGTCAACACTTTGTTGCATTCTTTACCATAGATCGCGGTGCGCGTGCTGAACATACACCAACACGCGTGTTATGAGCCCCGTAAAGGGAACCCGTTGGGTGTGAATAGTCCCTAAGGCCCATTTACGTTTAAAATAACATTTTAAAATAAGGGGGCCCCCGGATACCTCCCTCAGGTAATGAGTTTGGGGTACAGAATACCGCGGGGTCCCGCACGCAATGATTCTCTTGTTGCGCTCGCACCGCAAATGTTGATTTTTATGGCGGAATGGCAATAAAACGGCCGCTGATGCTGGCTGACGTCACTGACCATATATGGTCATGTCCATATATGGTCAATGGCGTCCCCTTAAAGGAGAACTATGAGGGGGGTGGAGGTGCTTTTTCACTCACCTCATAGTTCTAGCCGACCTGTGACAATGAGACTGTCACAGGTCGGCTCAGTAGATCGGGAGGTGAGCGGACACATACCGGCGTTCGCTCACCTCTCGATCCTGTCACAGCTCTCTGCCGTGACAG